CCCTCCATTTTGCTGGTGTTACCTTGTACTATTTGTCAGTGAAGCTCTCCTGCTATCAAGTCTGGTTGCAGCAGGAGGCAAAACCCCGACTTTCAATTAATTTTTCTTTTTTTTTTTGTTCACTTCTTGCTGAAGAAGGAATGTGTAATGCAGGAAGTGTAATAGATTGAATTTAAGAATGAACAGTCCCTGTGTCAGCTGATGTGATTTTAGTGATTAACTGGATTCGAAACACAACTTACATTGTAAGATTTTCAGTTGTGATGGGATTAAAATGCAAGAAACTTTAAAAAAGTTAATCCTGTTTACAAACAAGTTTTAATGAATGCTATATTTAAAAGAAATCTTCACAGTTACTCCTTTGGTAATTTTGACTGTATTGGAGGTCTTCTGGGTTATCTTTTGGGTTGTGGTTATTGAAATAGAAGCAATTCCAAATGAAATTTGTTTAATTGATGTTACTATTTCAAAATTATTATTTTGGGCTTGAAAAATAAATATGCAAACTTGAATCATAAGTGACTTTCATTTGCAAAAAACCTTCCAGATTACATAGAATCATAGAATGGTCTGAGTTGGAAGGGACCTCAGAGATCATCTAGTTCCAACCCCCCGCCATCAGCAGGGACACCAGTTTGTAAAAAACCAACCCCCCTGCCATCAGCAGGGACACCAGTTTGTAAAAACCTTTTTAGTAGTTGCTTAAAAATTACTCATCAGTATCAGCCATAATGTTCCATAATAACTTTCACTGAAGTTACATGGAAATTAGTTGTCTGTTCTAAGCATATATACTTAAGCATGTATATACTTTTTTTTTCCCTCCCTAAAAGAGCTTGGGCAGCTATAAAAGAAAGGGAGCATCATAATGCTTCACTCCTTGCCTTGGCAAATGTAAACTGACATGTAGAAAACAATTTGAGGCAGACGGGGGGAAAGCTGGCCTTGAAAGTTTAAGCTTGGCAGGTGTTGGGATGGGAGGCTGGGTGAATATGCACATTGAGAGGGTGTAGGTGGGCAAAAGTCTGTTTTTATCCTGCATTTTTCGGGTGCAGTGTTGAAAGAAGGCAACCTTCCCTGATGTTGCCTTTGGAATAACTATTTTTATTTTTATGTAAATGACTTTACTATTTTATTTAGTGTTTTATGAATAACAGTCTTTTTTCTTATTTTATGCAGAATCAGATTCAGTACCTCAAGCAAGTCCAGCAGCCTAGTGTTGCCCAACTGCGATCAACAATGGTGGACCCAGCCATCAACTTGTTTTTCCTAAAAATGAAAGGTGAACTGGAACAGACTAAAGACAAACTGGAACAAGCCCAAAATGAACTGAGTGCCTGGAAATTTACGCCTGATAGGTAAACAAAACAAATACTCCCCAGTCAAGACTTCCCTGACAGTCCCACTACGAGAATGCTATGGTGGGACAGCCAAGTACTCGTTTCCACACCAAGACTCAGACGTTTTGAGGCAAAAGCCACATTCTTATACTGTCCAGCTTGTAATGCTTAATGTAAAACTTACCAGATGAACCTTGTGTTTCAGCTCTTTTCTCCCCCTTTGCTTCAGAGGCCTGATGGCGTCGGACTATTCTGAAGAAATGGCCATCTTCGGAAAAAAAATCTTTTCTAGAACATGTAGACATTTGCAAAATTGTTCTATTTGAAGAAAATAGAGGGAGAAACAGAAGTCTTAGTCTGTGGCACATTGTGTCTACAGACAGTTTGGAGGAGAGAGAACCTAGAGATTATAAATCATGAATTGAACATGTAAAATTCCCGTAAAATGTAGAAGTGGAATATGCTTCGCTCTTAAGCTTGAGCCTAGTGACTTAGAGACACTGTAAGTCAGTTTTGCCAATAAGACTGTGGACTTCCTGCTTGTTCACTGAACTGCTGGGTCAAAACTCGATGAGGTGAATTTTGCATTAAAGAGTTTACTTGCTAACCAGTTTTGAATAGCCATGAGAGTGCTATTTGATACCACAACAGTGGTAGTGTACGCATTTGACTGTTTAGCCTTTGGGCTCCCCAGCACTTGCCGGAGCCTTAAGTCAATGTTGCTAAATAATGAACTGTTTTCTGGATGGTTGGTAATACTGTGGACGCCTCAAAATTAGGACTGTACGAAAATGTACGTTCTATCTAATTGCAGGTTTAAAATTGTTGGAAGCAATATATATTTGATCACAACTAGCATGTATAAGAAAAACTGGTTGTGATAAGTATTTCACTGCATGCTTTCATGCAGAAATGAGTTTCTCGTTCTTCTATACTAAGAACTGATCTCAAGTGCTCAATACAGAAGGCACACAATGGCAACTGTCTTCAGTGTTGGTGGGGTGTTTTTATTCCTTTGTACATCTGGGTTTTTTTGTATTGCACTTCTATATAAAATGTGCCTTGAAATAGCTGTAATATATAGTTCAAGGAACACTACTGGTTATACTGTTGTATTGTGAAACTCCTGGGATGAACGAGAATTGAACAGCTTGTTATTTCTGCATTGTCTCGTTCTCTGAAAACAAAGTCAGTATTTGAACAAACCTAAAAAACTCCATGCATTTGCCTTGGTGGAATCAGTGAAGGAGCCTTTGCTACTCTGTTGGTGCCTCTGTTCTGTTGTCCCAAGTTACTTGTAAGAGTAGCAATCTGGGACATTTGGGAGTGGCATATCTGAGGTGTGTAAAGTGAAATGCAGATTTGGTTTAGCATTTGTGTGTTTATTTTTTTCTTTAGTGATTTGAGTTCTATTTAGCAGTCTGAGGTTTTGATTTTTCAAAACAGTTGGGCAACATTTAATGACTCAGTCTGATCCTAGAAAATTCAGTTTTAAATTAAAAAAAAATACATCCAACTGTCACAGAAGGTGATGTATTCTAACTGTTTCAATGACTGAAGATTGCATTACGTACTTTTAACTGTTTGTGCTTCAGATGATTAATATGGGATTGAAGAGTAGTGTAATTATGCAGGTTTATTTTTTTGCATGAGTAATGACTTAACAGCAAAAGAAAAACCTACAGAAAAACTTTACCTTTTTAAAAGTGATACATCTGGAATGATTTTGCTATAGCAGTATCTTAAGATTTTAATGATCTAGCATCAAAACAGAGGTAAGACTTGCTTTAATAAATTGTTAACGTGTTACCAAGCCATTTGTAAAGCTCACTATGATGTGCAGATAGAGGCATACTGTGCAGATTGCTTGTTGAATGTGGAGTTCAAAAAATTATTTAATATATTTAGGTGCAGGTTTGTTGTTTTCTTAAGTTCTCAGGCTCTAAATGTGTGTTTAGAACTGAGGAGAGACAAGTAACTTTCCACTTTCTTCCAAGCAGAAGTATCAAAAGAAAATGTTATTTCTGTAGCTACAGCATACCCCAATATGTGTCATAAAACTTTTAGCCAGTGGTGTGAATGTGCGTAACTCATATACACAGTAGCTGGAATACAGAAAACAGGAGTTGTTTCTTGGTAAATAACTGAGGGTATCTTCATTAACTGGGTTAAGATTTTATTGATTTTTTTATTTCTGGAAAGGTAAAGGAATGGTGACTTGTGAAATACTTATATTTATAAGATTTTTTTCATTCTCTTTGCATATTGCCTCCCGTCCCTCCCCCCTTCTAATTGCATTAAATGTCCATCCTCGTATGCAGCTGCCCTAATTTCATGGCATCTGACCTCGTTTTTGAAAGAGATGATGCCCCTGTTGAGATCCCTAGCTGGTGTTCTTAGGGAAACATGTTAACTGCAGCCCTAAGCAGTATTAGTTCTAGGCCTTAACCATAGATAAGGGTGTACAGCATCATCATTGCTGATGGCTGGAGGGGGAAATAAAAGGGCATGTCATCAAAGGAATGGCTCTGCTAAGCCATTTCCACTATTGTTTATAAACATAGAGGGGATTAAAAACTAGTAGAAATGTCATTTGCAGTAAGCCTGCAACAACAAACACTAGTCTTCTGAAACTTAACCATTTATATTCTTACAGGTTTTGTGCATGTATGTTCAAGAGGATTTGTGAAAACAATGCCAAACTTAGTTTTACAGATAATAGGAGTTATTTTAATAGTTACTGGATTTTAAATTACTGTGTGTGTTGTCTTTTTTTGAAAATGGCAAGAGGATGTTACTTGGTGCTGTACTAGTTCAAAACATCTGGAAAAAAAATTATGGGAAGAAGTAGCATTATAGGTAACTATGCAAATTTCTATACAGGTAATAAACATTTTACATTTTGGCAGGAGTTAACATGAAGAAATTAATGGGATTCTAAAATTATCCCAATTCCAAGGTAACTGGTACTTGCTAATTCTACAGTTGACGTTGTTTTGTGAAGAGAAAAGCATTAAATGACCCAAGCACTGTGAACTTTTTCAGCTTGTAGTGATGATGAATACAGTAACAGGAATTTTGAAATGGCTAAAAATCGTTGCATGTCTGCCGAATAACTTTTGGGATATGTCACATTGGTTATCTCCAAAGTGGTCCTGCTTTTTACACAGAATGAACATCTCTAAGAAAACTTGCATCTTAAGTGTGCGACTTGGACTGTATTAGGTCAGCACAATTTAAACTTCAAGGACCTGGCATTGGACATCACATCAAGAAGGAAAACAGGTTGCTGCCTTTAGCAGAGTTTCAGGCTTCCAGGACTTTACACAGCCAGATTCCTTCTGGAGCAGCCCATCTGAAAGATTTGGGAGAGTCAGTCGGAAAACATTAAAGGGGGCAGAGCTGGCAGAACTTAAAAGTTGTCTGAGGCTTGAATGCTTAAAAGGTAGTTGATAAGGAAATTATTACTTTAAGTTCTTTTGGTTGGGTATTTTGGTTGCAGGAGAGAACCGTGGCTGTGAATTGTAGCAGAAATTTCCTGTTCTACTTTTTTAATCCTCAAAATTTCTTTCAATCTTTGTCACTTGTTTAAAGCAAAAAACCAAACAATTAAATGACCTTCTTGGTCTTGAAAAGTAATGCAAGTCCTGCCTTTGAATTCATAATAAACCTCTTCAAGTTTGGGTTGGCTTTTTTTTTTTTGGCAGAGCTTACGCTTCTGTAGAAAAGAGGACAGCTTCATTATGTTTCTGAGCCTAATAAAAGGAGAACTGTTTGTGGTTGCTATCCTGATTTTGGCAGACAGGAGTCTTAAAGGACTTTAATTTTTCTCTTTTATGGAGTCAGCTGTATTGCCTATATATTAATTTGCATACTACTTCCTATAATGCTTTACAATGCAATTTCTGTTGTGAAGATTAAAGATGTGTGGTGTTACCCACTTAGTAAAGAAAATCTTGTCAGTTCAAAATATTTTTTCCTGCTTATTTCAATTCTTTCAGAAACTGGACATCCTGATGGTCATTACTCATGATCTGAAATGTGTCATTCTAAAGGAAGTAGATTAAAAATATACTCCTTCCTTAATTTTCTGCCAGTTTTTAACTACATTTTAGTTTCTGCTTACCATGAATGATGTGCTTAGGGAAAGTTGACCACAGAAATAATGAAACAGACTGTGTACATTACTGTCAAATATATAAATCGAATTGAAAAATAATAATTAAAAGATTAAAAATAAAATACACTTTTTTAAAGAAGAGTACCTGGACAGCATTCAAAAGAATATCTAAGCCTCTTAATGAATATGGATGTCACTATGAAAAATTAACATGGGATTTAATATATTCCCTCAAGCAACTTTGTTCTCTTCATCCAAATTTAATGATTAAATTTTACTAGTACAGTAAATGAAGATTTTTGTTTATGCTTCAGTTTACATTTAATTTTTATGCAGTACTTGATTTTTTTTAATTACGAGGCACATCTTTAATCAAATACTTAACTCTATTGAGAAATAGCACATGCAAGATTGTGCAGACTGAAAATCCAGATGTTGGTATGAAAAAGGAACAATGTGCTTATTCATATTTTCAGTAATAAAACTTGCCTTCCACTTTATGGGACAGCGGCAGAAGATCGACTGGCATTGGAACAGCACGTGGTAACTATAGGGAGACTTTCTGCTATGACAGTTATGTTGAGGCATAATATTCCTTGAATTGTAACATGCAGAAACTGCATCTCCTTTTTGTCTGTAGTTGTGATTGAGGAAGATTACTGAAGGTTTTGTATTCATGTTGTGATAGATGGCTCTTTCCTTTGCAGCCAAACAGGCAAAAAGTTAATGGCGAAGTGTCGAATGCTTATCCAGGAGAATCAAGAGCTTGGAAGGCAGCTGTCCCAAGGACGTATTGCACAGCTTGAGGCAGAATTGGCTTTACAGAAGAAATATAGTGAGGAACTTAAAAGCAGTCAGGATGGTAAGGGATTTTTTTTAAGAAAATGGAAGTTGCCTTGCACTTCTACTAGTTTGATATCCTGATGATACACGTACTGTAAAACCATCTTTGCCAGAATGAAAGGACAGTATTGAATAAAATATGACAATTGTAAGTCTTTACTGGTAGCCTTAATTTAAAAAAATTAAAAATGCAAACTTAACTTTGGGGGGACTGGTGGGATTTGCAGCTACACTAAATGCAGCATTTGAATTTCAAATTGCCAGATGTTGTACTGTAGGCCTTGCTATTTAATAGGGAATTTTTAGATTGCACACATCACTGGTGAATTGGTAAGGCAAAAGCTGTTAACATTGCATGAAGCTAAGCATGCACTGAGAAAAAAAATGCTTCTTGTTAACTCTGACTCATTTTGAAATTATTTTTAAAAAATGAAAAACTTTAACAATTTCCAAGAATAAGAATTTTTTTTTTCCTTAGGTAACTGAGGTGAATAAAATATCTTGTTATTTTGTTCACAGTCCAAATTTTACTGTGGTGTAAACATAAATTAAAATTGTCTATAAACTCTGACCTCGCGTAATTTAAATGGAGGGGAAAATGCAAATTTAAAAAAATCTTTAGTTGAGAGTTCTGCATATAATTGGTATTTTTGGTAGAATGCTACAGAGCGGCTTATCTGATTATTACAGTATGTCTTGGGACATGAGCTGTTTAGACATCACGTAAACATGAATGTTTTTGGTTTACAGCTGAAGTCGGTAAGCTAGCATAGACTTGATTTGGCATTGTCAAAGTCTGACATGTCCTATATTTTTAAGGATAGATTCCCCCTCATAGGATCCTATTTTTGAGAAAGTAGCAGTGTAAAATAATATATATTAACTAGAATTCTTAAGGTATATGATTATTTATGTAATGACATTGTTGGAATAGTTACCCTTTTGCTTCTTAACTACTGTTTAGATAATGCATTTCATCAAGTTCATTATTGAAGCAAGCATGGACATTCTTTAAAGATCTCTGCTCTTGAATGCAGTGAAGTAAGCTCCAGAACCGAGATGTGTTTTAGCCTCTCTTGTTTCTTCCCCATATGAACAAAGATGATAGTGGTCCTGCAGTAGCAGTTCTTGTAATGATTTTTTTTTTTTTTTCCATAGCAGAAAGAACACTTCAATCTTAGGAATTTTTATAATAATAAGCAGTTTGCATTTTATTTGTTCAGTCGTATCGATGGTGCGGTTGAATTGAAGACTAAGGGAGTCAATGTTTCTTTTACTGTTTTCAGGTCAAATTTGTTTTGCTCCAACATGCAGTTCTACTTTGAAAATTCTTTTTCATGGTACATAAGTAGTAAAACACCCAGTAGAATTAGTTAATGGTTTTGTTGATAAGAAAGTCTTCCATTTAGTGTCCTGTTATGCAGGATTTAAAGGATTAAAACAGTAAGAGCTGAAAGTTCCTTGAAATGTGACTAAAATCTTTGTCACTTGAATAGACTTGTTTTTTAGATCTATTATATACAAATGTGCTTCATCATCACTTTTGCAGTATTCCTGCTAAGGTTTTCTACTTGAGTAAAAGTAGATACATGAGTATCTACTTGCAAAATTTTAGTTGTTGGAATTGAGCTGTTTTCCAAATTATCTTCTTTTCTTGCCCATAAATTCATTTCTTCTTGTATATTTTGAGTAGCAGTATAAAAAGTATGTAGGTGATTGTTAAGCATTTTCTCCTTCAGAGGCAGAGTATCAAAACCAGTGCATACCTGAGAGCTGCAAAATAGTCTGAAACATTTCAGCATAAAATGTTGAGTTGCAGGATTGTAATTTTTTTGTCTGAGATTAAAGCTATATATGGGCTATTAAGTATTTGCAACAAATGTGTTTTCTTTATATAGAATTGAATGACTTCATCATCCAGCTTGATGAGGAGGTAGAGGGTATGCAGAGTACCATTCTAGTTCTTCAGCAGCAGTTGAAGGAGACTCGCCAGCAGTTGGCTCAGTACCAGCAGCAGCAGTCCCAGGCCTCCAGCGCAGGTACCAGCAGGACTCCATCTTCTGAGCCTACAGACCAGGGAGAGGCTGTGGGTAAAGACTGCAGCCGCCTGGCAAACGGACCAAGCAATGGTAGCTCCTCCCATCAGCGGACGTCTGGGCCTGGATTTTATAGGGAGGGTAGCGGCACGGAAGATGACTTCCCGGCTTCTCCAGGGAATGGTAATAAGCTGTCCAACCACTCTGAAGATAGAACTGGTAGAGGAGGTGGTAGCTACATAAACCAACTCAGTACTGGGTATGAAAGTGTAGACTCTCCCACTGGCAGTGAAAACTCTCTCACTCACCACTCAAATGACACAGACTCCAATCATGATCCTCAAGAGGAGAAAACAGTGAGCATGAAAGGTAACAGAACTGTGGGTTCTCGTCATGTCCAGAATGGTTTGGACTCCAGTGTAAATGTGCAGGGTTCAGTTTTGTAACATTTTTCTGCAACATTTTTATACAGTGTCATTTAAATTGGGAGAGGATACTGTCCAGAAGCCGTTTAAATTAGTGCATACTTGTCACAATTTTGCCTTTTTGTGGGTTTCTTTTTGCTTCAATACCTCTGCCACTTTGGAAATTTTAACAGTTAATTACGTTGAATGTTGCTAAAAGGACGTTTGTGTAGCTCAAGTTATTTTTATATGAGTTAATGTGAAGTTGAAATGGAAATTATTTCCATAAAGTATAACATAAATGTCTGTACAAATCTGTGTATATCTAGAACCTGTGCTGTGTAAGGGCATTCTTACTCATACTGTTAGACTTGCACCACCTTCAAAATTTGTCATAATAGCTGTGAGTTTATGACTGCCAAGTTTGCCCAGTACAGTAGTTTTATCACTAAAAGATGGACTTACTGAAGGAGTCCTGTAGTAGTTTCAGTGTTAATTACAATTTTTCCCACCATACATCTGTGCATTTTCTCCTTAGGTGACCGAATGTTTATAAATTGTGTGCATAGTTACTCAGTTTTTAAGAACTGTTGTATCCTGTTTATGCATATTGCTCTGTGACTCCAATATTATCTTACCTGTACTGACCAAACCTAAATAAAAACTTTTAATAATGTAATTTCCTCATTGTTCTGCATTGGCTTACATGGCTTATTTGTAGGCAGTGTATTTACAGTACTTGCTTTTTTTTTTTAATTGTATTTGTTTCTGTGTCAATCCTATCCGATATACTTTATGTCAAATACCTGAAATTACAGGTGTGTACTGTTGTACTACTTTCAGGCCAGCCTTGGTAATGCTTATTCTGCAGGTTTTGTCCTTGCTGGCAGATAAGGAAAAGAAAAAGGAAAAAAAGAAAAGGGAGAAGATTGATAGAAGTAAACCATAGAGTTGGAACCTGGCTTTTATAAAGATTAAAAAAGCTCCAAAAAGCTAGAAGTATCCAACAGGTAAATACACAAATTAAACTACAAAACTTTAAGCTTACAGTTAGTAATTTGGCTTCTTAAACCAGCTACAACTCCTACTGTTTAAATGCCTGCTTGAGGGAACTGCCTTCTTAACAGGTGCAGAGAATGAAAAAATTACCTTTAAATGTACTTCTATTGTTTAGTAGCAATGAGTTACAAATTTCTCAGAACCTGAATTTCTGGTGGTTATTTTCTATCTGATAGTTCAGTGATGGGGTAGCACATAAACAAGGAGATGAAAAAGTGCTGGCTTTTAAGCACTGTTCAAAAGCAAAATAGAGGTACTTAGCACTATACTTTTGGGTAGACTTAAGTCCAGTTTCTACATTTTTCTACCTGTAATTACCAGATGACTAATAAAATTACCTCATATGTAGCCACTAAAACAATAGTAAATAGCTCATAGCTTTGCAATTCACTGTGGAAATAGCAAGACTCTTGCTGTTTGAAAACACTATTTCTCCAAAGTTCTAGGACATAGTTGAATTAATTTCAAATTTACAGTTATAATAAATTCCTAGAGTATAGAATGGTTTCTGTGCTACCGTTAAGTGGCATATTATGTGAGGATTAGCATCTGTAGTAGTATTGTCAGAGACAAATGGATGTAATTAAAATACTACTAGCTGCTGTCATCTGCATTAGTGACAAGCTAGTTCACTATTTTAATTTCATAGGGTTTATTTAAATGTATTAAAACCACTTAGTAGTCACTGGAAATGTAAATTCCATTGGTGATACCCAGTTGTTTTTTTGAACATTACTTTAGCCCTCATTGCCTTAAAAAAACAGTTTTTAGTTGTTGAATGCATGAAAGGGGAGTGACAAGTATCTATACAAAATGTACCAGCAGCTGGTAGTTCACAAAAATCCCTGATGGTGATCTAGATTTATAGTTGCTGGTGATACTACATTTGGTCTTAGTTATTGTATTGCTTGATTGTCCATAATTTTGTGTATATGTACATCCTGGATCCTCTACATAGTAGAATATAATATTTGCAAGAAGCTTAAAATGCTGATAATGGGTCATAACAGTGGCTTTATCTAATAATGTAGATGGTTGCCCAAGGAAGTTGTGGCTGCCCCCTCCCTGGAAGTGTTTAAGGCCAGGTTGGATGAGGCTTTGAGCAACCTGATCTAGTGGAAGGTGTCTCTGCTGATGGCAGGGGGGTTGGAACTAGATGATCTTTAAGGTCCCTTCCAACTCAAACCATTCTATGATTCTATGGTAAAAAGCCTTGTGCGGCAGTCTGTGGTCATGGTTCAAATCTCATTCTGAAATATGAAAACAACTCATGCCAAGAAAATGAAACACATTGTTTTGCCTAGTATAAGGAATTAGAAGGATGTAAAATATCTTTGGAGTTAGAGTAATTGCTATTAATTTTGCTAAGGTTTAAAAAAAGCATAGCTTTCAGGCGGTGACAGCTTGCTACTTCAATGTCAGTTAGTATAGGACATTCATGTTTTAAAACCTTGTATCAAGATTATTTTAATTTTCTCAAGAGTGTCTGATACTTAATTTTTAAATGGGAAAAAAAAAACCCCAACCTTGGCTAAAGAGCTAAAAAATAAAAAATTAGAAATACAAACGATACCCTTAGACTAGAAGGTAGCTTAATTTGTTGAAGGAAGATAATTGTAAGGCAAGGTCTTTCTATGCCTAGAGTGCATCTTCTAAATAAGCAGGCAGGGATGTTTTAATTTGTTTGGGGTTTTTTTGGTTTGGTGGGGTTTTTTGGGGTGTTTTGTTTTTGTTTTTTTCCAAAATGAAAGCAACCCAGAAACTGGACCAGTTAATAACAAAATGCATCATATAACTGACTTGCTTTCTTGGAATGCTTACTGCAAAGCATTACTGAATTGCAGCATAATACATAGAGAAATGCTAAAACCAGAAATCTTCATGTTCTTGCCTGGGTATCAATGCCTATATTTTATGGGCAACATTTAATAATCCTGAATTTAGTTGGTTCATCTTGTTTCAGAAAAAGATGACATTTTATTGCTCACCAATAAATACAACATACTCCTCTTTAATATTAGGTACTGCCTAAATCTTGTTCTTGTATATGTTTTCACCATTCAGGGGAAAGTTGTTTCCAAACCTCCTGTTAATTTTGGACAACTCGCATTTTATTGTATCTATTGATAAGGCAGTTATTTTCACTGCTCAGATTTCCAGAGAGTTCTGCTGGCTGATAGCTGGAAGTAAATTAACGTAGTTTTCTAGAGTCCTTCAAGAAGTGGGGACATACTTCAGAGTAGGCTGAGATTCCCCGTGTGGGTCTTTCCAGGTGGATTTTCTGGCAATTTCCAAGATAAGGTAATTTATTTTCAAGAATGTTGTTCAGACCTAACCCCCACTAAATTTTTGTAACTTGTGTTTTTATAGTCCGATAAGTGTGGGCTCTGTAAGATCTTAGGGAATATGTATTTATTTCAAAAGACAAAGCCCAAAAGACTGAGGGGTTTATGGTAGCAAAGATGATTTCCATACAATTCAGATTTAACTGATGTTTGTCTTGTCTGCAGCATGTGTCTGAGCTCTGAGGGGAGAGTTCTCCTCACTGACTGTTCCAGATTTTTAATGGGTCTTTGAACCAATTAGTGCCGACTGTAGCGATTATTTTAGCTGATGGGGTTCAGGTACCAGAATGGTGGATTCTCATCAGCACTAAAGGCTGTTGAATTGCTACCAGGAGAACAACAGATGTTGGGAAACAAGATGCACACAAAAATGAGGAAAAGAACAGAAACGAACCAAAAAAGTAAGTCGTAGACAAAATAGCTGACAAGGTATTCGTAAGCGCTGCAGGTCCTGTCAGTAAACTGTCAGACTCATGTCTTTGCCAGACAGGTTGTCAGAGCTCAGTGCAGCTGCCTTGTGCTGCTGTGTCCCCCGCTGTCCGGTAGCTCCTGGCAGGCATGTTCCTGCTTGGTAGAGGCTCAGGGCGGTCCTCCTCCGCGGCTGCCTCGCCTCGCCTCGGCTGGCAGGACTGAGGGCCCGAGTTCTAAGATAACGGCTCTACACAGTGGTTCTGTTTATAATATTGTGCTACCCAGATTGTTTTTTAAAAAAAAAAAAAAGTATTTGTCTCAGTTTGAAGAAAGAGAGTTACTGCAGCATTATGTCAACTGCAACTCGCCGAGGCTCAGCCCCCTCAGCTGCCCGCCCTCGGCGCCGCCCGCCCCGCTGCCGGCTCCAG